CATATGTAACCACAAGAGATGCAAATGCACACATACGTGGGTGACTAGCAACCCTTGAGCAAGCACAAACGAGCAAACATTTGCAAGCATACAATTGCGATCATCAAATGACACCTGAGCTCGCACTCAGACATCGAGTTCTTGGCACTTGCAAGCATGCATGCCCAAACACAGGCATGGGATGGGCCTTCCATCATCGCATCCTCCGCCCACATGATGTGATGGGGTACCTGGAGAGCGAGCAGCTAGTCATCATGGCATGAGTGTGCAACGCATGCAAAGCAAAGCAGCTGCACACAGCATAAGCACTCTGCCTTTTTTTGGCACTCAGCGGCTACAACCTTCATCTTAATAGTGTTCCTAAAAGGATGTATGCATCAATTCCAGACATCAACTGCTCTATGGGGACCATCAGAACTTAAGTTCATGCGAGGGAACTTGTGTTTTTCTAGATGCATTGCTCCTTTCAGGAGTGAATGTCGGTAGCTCATGCGATGGGATCTGAAAGACCTGCAGGGGCAAAAGGTGCACGCAGGCCAAGAGATGAGACCAACACACACACACACATGCACCCATGTAGAATTCTAGAGATTCGCGAGCGCCTGGATTGTCAGCTTCAGCAACAACAGCCAACCTGGAGAAGGCGCATGACACGCAAACCCACTCTGCCTGCTGAAGTGTGGCAGAAGGACCAGGCATGCATTCTGGGACTGAAGCGGCCAAATCCTGCCAGCAAGAGTCACGGAAACACATCATACACCACAAACCATGCATATGCCGCAGGCATGAGATGCGGCACCTTTAGCGCCGAGGTGGAGCGAAACGCCAGTTCTTCACCTTCATGAATGTGTCATGTGCGTGCATGCATGTGTTGCGTGAGTGCATGAGTGCAGCATGCAATGCGCAAGTGTGGCGCATGGCTTGTGGCATGTTGCTCATGGTGCTCACCCGTCAGTGTTGCTGATGCACGTGTGTTGCTGGTGTTGCTCACACGTGACACGTGGGTGCTGCTCATGCGTGGGCGCTGCTCTTGTGTGGGTGATGCACGGATGTTGCTCATGCGTGGGTGTTGCTGGTGTTGTTCATGCATGGATGTTGCTCATTCGTGGGTACGTGTTGCAGGTGTTGCTCATGCGTGGATGTTACTCATGCATGGGTGTTGCTGGTGTTGCTCATGTGTGGGTGTTGCTCATGCATGTGTGGGTGTTGCTCGTGTTGCTCATGCATGCATGTTGCTCGTGCATGGGTGTTGCTCACACATGCATGGGTGTTGCTTGCGTTGCTCATGTGTGGGCATGCTCATGCGTGCAGATCATGCGTGGTGTGTCCACATGGGAAGATGTAGGCAATCGTGCTTTCATGGTTCGCACACATACCCTGCCTTTGGCTCCGGCGGTGTCTGAGGCCACCAAGGCTTGGGGGGCGTTGCCGGCTTTGGGGGCGGTGCTGGCGGTACTGGAGGGGGCTGGCGCTGGACTTGCCTCTTGGGAGGGCCGCTCAGCCTTTGCTTGAGCTGCGCCAGCGCCGTTCTGCTGGGGGGCCCGGGAGGCGATTTGGGCCTGGCTTTCACCGGGGGAGGCGGTCCTGCAGCGCCGGTGTCCAGCGATCTCTTCTTGTCCTCTTTCGGCCTGCATGCACGAATGACTGATGGCATGTTGCTCACACACTCACACTGGCATGAACACTGATTCATGCACACAGCAGTGCCTACAGAGCCCACACACACATGCACGCATGCACACGCACGGCCGCAGGCGCCTTGCTTTCGAAGGCAACTTCACCGATCGTGTGCCTGAGACATTGTCCTGCGCAGCCAGCAAGCCCGTGAGCGCCTGCATCGTCGACACCACGCTGCTTTGCGAGGCGATTGCCGAGAGGTTCTTGCCCTGCGCAGCCATCTCAGAGTTAGCATGCATGAGCAATGACAGCTAGAATGCATGCATGCATGACTCAACTTGCCTCGCCCTGGCTGCGAAGTACGTGCCGCCAGGCTGTGGGCAAGCCCTGCACAATCTTGCGCACGGCACACACACATGCATGATCCCACGCACACACACACACATCGCTCAAGCTGAGCCCGCAGCTGGGTTGACCAACAGCTGTGTTGTGCGGGACTTCTTCATGCAGGTGATCGTGCCGTCCGGTGCCCGTGTCGCGGACTGCACGGTAGCTGCAAAAATGTGCGCATTGCAAAAAACACATTGCTTGCCTCCTCTTCCTCCACCTCGCACATGGAGAGGGCTTGTGGCTCATGCGCCGGCTGCCGGTTCTGCTTTGGCTTGGCAGGCTCACGGCCGCGCTTTGGTGCTGCTCCTTTGGCTGCTGCCCGCCTCAACAAACACGCATGCCTAAATCTCTGCATGCATGAACACATGTCGCATGACATGCGTGTAAACACATGACACTGCACTGAGCTCATGCATGGCTGCTTTCGTGACATGCGAACAGTGGAATGCATGAGTACGAACTTGGGCAGGCCTCATCATGAGACGCTCTCGTTCGGATTCCGGCTCAGCCATGGCAAGTCCTTGCAGCTCGCGCACAAACTGAATCCACTTCAAGCACGTGAGCTCCTCCAGAGGAGCTGCACACCCCGTCGTTCCTGTCCTTGCAGCCCACATGCGTGCAGCTTGAAACAACACAGCAGTGTACACCCCGCCTTGTCAGGAAGTCACTCACAGCCACCTTGCAGCACACACACAGAGAAAACTGAACATTTGATTTGACATACACTGCAGCACGCACCCCAGCTCCTTGGTTCGCCACGAAGGTCCTGAAGCACACGCAGTACATGCATGAAACACTGCAGCATGCACGTGACCTCCTCAGAAAGCACCCCCCCAAGCGCTTCAAAGCCTGGCAGAACACGCACAAAAGATTGGTTCAACTTGAAGCACAGCACGCACTCAGCTCCTCACAAGCACCACTTGGGTCCTCAAGCACACATGGAATGAACTCATAACTAGTTTGATTCACAACAGCATGCACATAAGCTCCTCAGCGTTGCGCACCCGCTGGCTTGGCGCCCCGGAGCAAAAACTCTGCGTGTCCAACAAGTCACATGCATGCGCGCAAGCCAACAACATGCATGTGTGGCAGCGCATGGTCAAGCAACATGGTGCATGCATGACATGTTTCCCCTTTTCACTCTCTAATCAAACCCCTTGTGCATGCATGAGTGTTGTCACTCATGACCCCCACGCGTGGCTCACCGCATGCGAAACCCTGCAGGTCACCATCCACGTCGGCGGCCTCAGTCAGCTGGCATAGGAGCGAAAAAACACTTGATTGATGATTTGCAAACTGCTCAGGCTGGCACTGCATCCACCACTTCTCAGCAATCGCTCCTGGGACTCAGTCAGCTGACAGAGTGCATGCAAATGCTCTGACAAGCTCATGAGGTTGGGGCTGCAGCAGGTGCTCAACTTGTTTCAGCGAAAGCCTCAGGACACACACACTCGCATGGCACACCTGACAGAAACATTGCTCAACATGCAACACACATGCCACATGCATGAAACTAGTTGTCAACTAGGCAACCTTTTTGCCAGCAAGCTTGGCTTCCTCTGCTGTCGCGCCTTTGCTTGTTGCTTCTTTGCGGGCCTTGTGGTAGGCGCTGCTTTTGCGAACCTTTTTCTTCTTCTCTTCGTCGATCTGTTCCTGGGTCCTGTTTTGCACTGGCCTGCCCCTGGCTGTGCGCGCAGCAGGGGCTCGGGCAACTGCAGGCCCGGGCTCAGTTGCCACTGCGGGCTCGGGCTCAGTTGCCACTGCGGGCTCGGCCTCAGTTGCCACTGCGGGCTCTGCAGTCAGGGCAAGCGCTGGCTGCACTGGCTGCAGCACTGGCTGCAGTTGCAAGGCTTGCTGTCCTGGGGGCGGTGGCAAAGCGAACGGGTTCGGCTCTGCAGCTGGCGGCTTTCTGGCCTTTGTCTTCGGGTTCGGGGCCTGCTCAGCGTCTGCTTTGCGTTTTGCCGGGGCTGCCTGGGCCTTCACTTTGGCCTTTGCTTTGGCCTTCGCCTTCGCCTTCGCTTTTGGCGAAGGCTCAGCTATGCCCTCATCCTTGGGCTCTGCGTCCGGGGCTGCCTGGGCCTTCGCTTTGGCTTTGGCCTTCGCCTTCGCCTTGGCTTTTGGCGAAGGCTCAACCGCGCCCTCATCCTTGGGCTCTGCCTTCTCTGCTTTTTTGTTCGGCGGGGGCGGCGGCATGCATGGGGCACTCAAGAGTTCTCGGCAGGCTTCAGGAGCATGGTCAGCCTGCAATGCAGTTTCAAACTGTCGTTGCTCATACATGGGTGTTGCTGGTGTTGCTCATGCATGGATGTTGCTCATTATGGGTGTTGCAGGTGTTGATCATGCGTGGATGTTACTCATGCATGCGTGGCGCTGGTGTTGTTCATGCATGGGTGTTGCTCATTCGCGGGTGTTGCAGGTGTTGCTCATGCGTGGATGTTACTCATGCATGCGTGGCGCTGGTGTTGTTCATGCATTGGTGTTGCTCATTCGCGGGTGCATGTTGCTGGTGTTGCTCACGCGTGGGTGTTGCTGGTGTTCTTCATGCATGGATGTTGCTCATTCGTGGGTTCGTGTTGCAGGTGTTGCTCATGCGTGGATGTTACTCATGCATGCGTGGCGCTGGTGTTGTTCATGCATGGGTGTTGCTCATTCGTGGGTGCATGTTGCTGGTGTTGCTCACGCGTGGGTGTTGCTGGTGTTCTTCATGCAGTGATGTTGCTCATTCGTGGGTGTTGCAGCTGTTGATCATGCGTGGATGTTACTCATGCATGGGTGGTGCTGGTGTTGTTCATGCGTGGGTGTTGCTCATGTGTGGATGTTGCTGGTGTTGCTCATGTGTGGGTGTTTCATGGTGTTGTTCATGCATGGATGTTGCTCATTCGTCAGTGTTGCAGGTGTTGCTCATGCATGGATGTTACTCATGCATGGGTGGTGCTGGTGTTGTTCATGCATGGGTGTTGCTGGTGTTGCTCATGCATGGATCCCAGTGATGCCAAGCGTCTGCTGCGCCGCCAAGGCTCTTCTCCAAGCTCTTCTCCAAGCCCACCGGCTGCTCCATGGGCTGCGTCTCCAAGTTGTCTGGGCCTTGGAGGCAAAATATCACTCAGCCACACATGCACATGCTGTAAGGAAACCACTCACTCAAGAACTCGCAGAGGCTATCAACTGAGCCCGCTGCACACCACAGCTTTCACAGGAACGGCAGGCGGGGGCATCAAGGCAGGCTGGGACGACCGCTTTGTTGCTTCACCGTCAGGCTGTGGCCATCCTAGGGCCTGACAAGCTTTCAAAGCTAAGCTCACACATGCGTGCGTGAGATCGCGAAAATCACAGGCCTTCTGCCTCTCAAGCTCGACCAGCTGGGACTGGAGGCGGAGCAGATCGTCCAACTCTGTCAGCTGCTTCAGCAGCAGCACCTTCTCCCCTTCATCCTGTACTCCTGGAACCATTTCTGTACAAGCATGCGTGCGTGGCTTTCGGCAGGTGTCCTGTGAAGTCCAGTTTCCTTGCCACCTTCTCGGGGCTGGAGCCATCTGGCAGACCTGCGCGCAAATCAGGCGCTTGTGCACAAGCAGTCAAACATGATAGGATTTGTAATCATGCATGAGCGCACAGGTGATGAGGTTTTCAACATCAGCCTGCCATGTAGCGAGGAGAGGGGGTAACATGGCTTTGGCCTTGGTTTGCAACATTCCACAGCACGCATGAGCCACGGCAAGTTTAAGTCTTGCACTATCCACATCCATGCTTGAGGATGTATCCTCGCCGTTCACACTCACAACATCATCCTCGGAGAACGACACAAAGGTGTGGCATAAGACAAGCTTGCGTGAGTGTGGAGCCATTGTGAGGGGTTGGTGTGGGCATGAATGATTGCGAACGAGACTCAGACTCAGAGCTTGCCTTTGAGGAACCAGAGTCGCTGATGCTGCCAGCATCATCTGCCAGAGAACACGCATCAACACAGGTTTGGAAAGATTGACAGGCCCAGGCCATCTCCTGGCAAGCCCAAGCCAGCTAGGCGGAAAATCGCTTGGATTTCCTTGACACGCGGGGTGTGCGGCCGCCTCAAGCATGACACGTCACCACACAGAAGCTGGGATGAGAGACACGCATAACGAGCTAGGCTTGCTAATGGTTCCAAGTAGCTTTGCAAGCCTCGAGAACATGTACACCAGCTTTTTCACAATGCGCGTCTGCAGTCTTTGGCGAACACCTCACACTTAACTTTGCACATGCATGCATGCACGCAGCAATGGACCAACAGTCATCAACACATGAGCAACACTCAATTGATCCAAGTGTCTGCAAACCAACTGGCTTCGAGGCACGCACATCGCCAGGAAGCTGAACACCGCCTGGTCAATCACAGCCTGGCTCGGCCGCATGCCCAAGTGCTTCACAGCAAGGCCGACCACCCACCACGTAGTTCTCCTTCAAAGATCCTGAGACAAGGGCAACACTTTGCATTGCACACATGAAGCATTCAAACCGAGCTCGGATGAGTGTCAACTCATCCATGCTCTCGCACATGCGCTCATGCATGCAGTCACGCATGCCCTCATGCATGCAGGCATGCATGCATGCATTGATGTTGCACGGCATGTGTGCCACGCATGCTTTTTCATGAATGCATTCATGCATGTGTTTCATGCGTGCGGTAATGCATGCACTCATGCATGCATTCATGTGTGCAATCATGGCATGTGTGCACTCACGCATGCATCGTGCACATGTGTGAAGTCATGCATGCATGCACTCATGTGGACAGGCAAGGCACTCCGTGACAGCTTCTTGGCTGTCACTTGGCAAAGCGACTGCTTAGCCCCAAGGGCTGCGAGCTCCTCCTCATTTGCCCAGGCAGAGGCAAGAGCAGCAGCCTGCGGCGCTTGTGCCATGCTGCGCGGTCGAGCCAGCTTTTGAGCAGCCTGCTGCGGGAAGGGCACATGCACCATGCTAGCAAGCAAAGCTTTTGAAGAAACCCTTGCACGCCGTACTGCACAGGCAAAGGGCACTGGGAGTTGATCTCAGCGCTGCTCCACGGGCATGTCCTGGCACACATGCGCACACAGAGACACGCGTTTGACACTGATTGCTGTTTGCGAGGCCATTGGTGAGCCCGCTGCGCACCGGCCTTCACAGCAACGATGATCCACATCCTGCGCAAACTTGAGCAGCCACAAGCATCCCTCCCACCTGCGTGCAGTCCTGGCCATGACATCAGCTCGTCAAGGATGACAAGCACTCACATATGCACCCATGCCTGCTGCTTGCTTGCGTGTGTGCTTTCATGCGCACATGCATGCCTGCTGCTTGTTTGCGTGCGTGCTTTGATGCATACATGCGCGCCTGCTGCTTGCTTGCATGCGTGGTCTCATGCGTACATGCGTGCCTGCTTCATCATGCATGGATTGATATCATGCATGCATTCTGGCGAAAGCGTGGCAGCGTGCGCAGCAAAAGTTCGAGCCAACTTCGGAACCAAAATTGCCCAGAGCACCCACCACTTGCATGGCCTCCTCCTAAACAAGATGCATGTGAGCGGCTAAACCCACCCACCCGCCCTCCCAATGACATGCGCCTAGAAAGGTCACAGGGTTGCAGAAAAAGACGCAAATTGAATGATACTAGTGCAAGCTCCTAGAAAATGTCCAAAATGAGGAAAATGAAAAAAAAGTGCTCGAGAAAAAAAGTGCTCGAATGACTTCCCCCAAAAAAAAAAACGTACCACTTCCCCAAAAAATGTACCAAAAACAGGGTTGAACACTTTTTTCTGTACCACTGGGCGGTCCAGGCACAGGAACATCCATGTTTACCGAATCCAAGAAGTACATTGGATCGAGATTGCCAGCACGCACCATTGTCCAAGGACATGGCCGAGACAAGGAGATCGTCGTTCTCCACATCGAGCAGAGTGATGAGTTTCGTGGCATGATCCCGAAATCATCCGACAAGTCATACTACGAGTATGACGACCGCCACATAACGAGGGCAGATCTACCATTCGCCACCATTGGAGTCTTCCACATCCATCCTTCACTTAGCCATGGAGCAGCAAAGGAAGATCTTCAAAATGAAATCATGCCGCTCGTGACCTTGTACCGATGCGATGCGATCACCGGAGACGCCAACAAATCGGCGAACACCTACAGCAAACTCCAGCATGTCTACAATCCAACCAACGGTCTCGTGAACATCCTCATGAGAGCATATCAGAGACTGTGGAATGCGACGAAGAATTTGCGAATGGAGTATACAGTGGAGACTTCGTGCACCCTGAAATCCATTGTCCGTCATCACCTGCACATGAAATGCGGATCAGGTTTTGATCGAACATTCCCAGATGTGATGATGACTATCGTATTTGGATGGGGCAAAACGAACATCCAGCAAAAATTCGGAAGATCGAGATGAACGGTATGGATGATGAACAACTGGAATTCATGCGGAACCATCCAGACAAGGCCCTTTTCGATTACCAGGTCTCATCCGCAGAGCGCTACAAGCACGTGAACAATGAAATGTTCATGAACGGCTCGCAGGACTCCGACTCCCACAGTCCTCTGATGGTTTACATCCGCAGCAAGTCTGCAACCAGTAAACGCAACTCTGAGAGATACCAGGATTACGTCAATAAGAGACAATCATCCTGGACCACGCAAGAGTATAAGGACTACAACAAGCAGTGGGGATATCAGAAGCAGTGGAAGGACTATAGCACTTCGACCTGGAATGATTATGGAGACCATGGCAGTCAATCCGACAGCAGCCGCCGATGGTATCGTCGATCCGACTGACCATGAAGATACGTTCAGCACCACGAGCAATCCAGATGATTGATCCTCCTCGTCTACAAGACTATACCATGAGTGAGAGATCAATAGTTTCACAACTGTTCCGCGTGTACATAGCGTTGTACATCACCCTTTGATACAATTAGGTATCCAAAAAGAAGCGTACATAGTGTTTCCCATTTCGAAGGCCAAGACATTTCATCCAAGCAGAAAAAGGATGAATCCGGCACTTTTAATCACATGGCTACGGCACACATTAAGGCTACGGTCAAAGGCCATGAAGCCAATAGTATTTCATACTTTGTGCTGGATTTCAAAAGAAATTTGTGTCTGTTTTGTGCTCTGTTTTTCAGACCATTGATCTCCCGCAACATTTGGCTCAAGGCCCCTTTTGCATAATCAGGACCATCCGAGCGTGAGGACAAAAGAGCCATTGCAGGCCGCTTACAGGATTATCCATAAGACAATCCACCAGGGACAATCCATCCTCCAATCATCCATTACTGGCATATTGGACTCCAACCAACAACGACCTCAACTACCACAGGGTTCCAGTTCCGGCACCTGCGACAGTGGGCCCCCCCAACCCCCCACCCTCCCCCCCCCCAACCCCCACCCTCCCCCCCCCAACCCCCCCCCCCCTTTGTGGGGGTGGGGTGGGGGCGGTGCGGTGGGCTGGTTGGGTGGTTGGGGTGTGGTTCGGAGTTGGTTTAGGCTTGGTGGGTTGGTTTAGGGTTGGTGGATGTTGCGAGAGGTGCTGGGGTGTTGGTTCACGCGGTGAAACAGGGAGTCTGGGACCGAAGCTGCAGGGCTCAGGACAGCATCCCCAGCACTGCCAGCGTCATCCCCAAGATGCAGATGATGCGGGAGAGTGGGGGGACCAGGGGGGGGGTACGTGGCCCATTTGCTGGTTATCCGGAATTGCTCGTTGCCAGTTCCATCCAAGGGGAAATCAATTTGTTTTTGCTCCTCGGCAAATCAGCAGGGACCAAAGAAGGGGCCCTCTTCTGGATGGTTGTGTGTACCCCACGGTCATCTACGGTCATCTGCGGGCATGCTAACAAAAAATACTCTGACCCCTGAAAGAGGAATCCCAGCCAGTCCTACGGACAGCTGGAAGCCAAGCGACAAGATCTTCTCGTCCTTGACCTTGACGCGCCGCGCGATGCCGTAGGGCCGCTGGGTGACCTGCAGGGCTGCTGGGTAGGTCTGCATGTACTTCTCCAGGAAGTTCACCTGATTCTGAAAGCCAGAATGACTAAAAAGGTTGCATAATTTAGCTTCTCTCTCTCTCTCTCTCTCTCTCTCTCTCTCTCTCTCTCTCTCTCTCTCTCTCTCTCAGCCGTTAAAATCGGTGGTTACTTTGCTTCCAAGTGCAAGTGCTGTAGTGTTCAAACAAACAGTCAACCGATTGTAGTCTGCAGCAATCCACCTTTTACACATGCGATGTAGTGAGCTCAAGGCCTGCAGTACATGCAACACAAATGCAGGAAGTGAAGCATGTAGTTTGACACGGCCCCTCAGTTAAAAGGTCTTTGTAGTACCTTTTCAACTGAAGTGCAAAACATGGATTGACAGTAGTGATGAAAACCATTGTTGTTCATCAATTCTACTGTAGTGACAAAAGTAGTAACCTGCACTCAGTAGTTCTCGCTGTTCAGGTTCCAGCTCGATGTAGTGCGCTGGACGGAAGTAGTGAGGCAGGCACTTGTTGTTGTAGTAGGGCATGTGCTCAAAGATGTAGTCCCCAGTTCTGGGTGCGGTAGTCTTGGACCTTCTGTAGTCGACTGTCCAAGGTCGCAAAGTAGTGCGTGCTGAAAAAAGGTTGTCATGTAGTTTGGTGCTCCTCGTAGTCGCTCATCGTCGATTTCGGGACATGACATGTGCTGGTTGTAGTCCCTGAGGAAGCGGTGTAGTAGTGCCTTGTGGTGTTGTGTGAGGTTTGTCATGGTGTACATCCGTAGTACTGGATACTCTTGCAGAGAATTGTAGTGATTGCCTTGTGTTGGTAGTCGTGGAGTTGGTCTCTGTTGTAGAGGTAGTGGAGTAGCTCAGGTAGTAGTAGTGGCATGTGGTAGTTCCAAAGATAGTTGTTCCTGAGGCTGTAGTTGCCGGTGAAGATGGTCATGTTGTAGTTCACCTTGTAGATGGTCTGTGGCAGTGGTGTAGTTGGGAGGTAGTAGTTCTGTTGTACCGACATCATGTAGGAAATGTAGTCTCTGGTGAAGTGGATAAATTGTCCTGAAGTGAGGTACCTCAGGAGTAGCGGTTGTTCAATCTGCAGTTGGATGATGACGTAGTTGTTGTTGTCGCCGGTTGTAGTGTGAAGGGAAGTCGTATGGTAGTAGTGCACGTTGGCTGCTTCAGGTACTGAAACGCTGAGCAGGGTGGAGTTGTAGTGGGGCATCCGAAGGTCTCCAGGAATGCAGTAGATGGGTTGTGTGTAATCCAGTTGTGCAAGTGGAGTTGCTTGTTGATGTGAAAGTCGCTGATACTCTTCGAGTGTGAGTGCAGTGAAAAACTGTGTGTAGGGTGTGTTGTCGGGCAGTGGTGGTGTAGCGGTTGTCTGGCGCTCAGTGCTGTGTAGTTGGTCCATCACTGTGGTCGGGTTGTAGTAGACTGTGTTGCCAGGTGTAGGATGGTTGAAGTGGTAGTTAGAGTCGTTGTATGTTTGAGGTGGTGGAGTTCCATGGTCGCTGGAGTCCGTAGTGACAGCCACCTCCGGTGTAGACGCCCTGTCGGGTGTAGTCGCATCTCCCATCGTAGCATCTGCAGTAGATGGAGCGGCCATGGCTGCAGGGGAGTGCGAATGTAGTGAAACGGGGCAAAACAAAATGAGCCTGAGTAGTTGCTATCAGCCAGGCGGCGCATGCAGACATGTAAAACAAACAACTGTAGTGTTGACTCAGCCGCCAAAAGTGCAAGTGCAAATACATGTAGTTACTGTTACTTACATACCAAAAGTGTCGTGTTACATGTAGCTACTTACATACATGAAATGTCCAAAGTCGTTGTTGTTGTTGTGAAACTGCTGCGCTGGTCGTCCGTAGTGCTAAATGCGTCTTCCAATGCTCTGGATGAGCCTGTGTAGCGTTTCTTTGCAGATGTATTTGGTAAACAAATCTGCGCTGTTGTGGAGTGTGTTGATCTTAAGGATTCTGATGATGTCATGCTTGATGAGGTCTTGTGTGTAGAGAAATTTAAGGTCGATGTGTTTTGCTCGTTTGCTAGTGCCTTGTCGTGTAGCAGTGCTCTTGCCTGCTGTGGAGTCTGTGTGGATGCGTAAGTTTAGCTTGCTGCAAATGTTGGTTTCAAGTAGGAAGTTTCTGAGGTGTAGTCCCTCATTAACTCCTGTGCAAATGGCGTAGAGTTCAGACTCTGCTGAGCTGAGTGCTATTGTAGCTTGTGTTCTGCTGCCAAATGCAACTGTTGTTCCTAAAAAGATGATGTTGAAACCTGAAGTTGATTTCCTGGTAGTAGGGCATCCTGCCCAGTCGGCATCGACGTGAACGTCGAGATCCAGGATGTTGTTGGTGTTTGCTCTGAGTGTTGTTGTTGGTTCTATGGTGAATTTGTAGTGCTTGGTGCCGTGCAAGTAGCGTAGTAGATGTTTGACTCTCTTTTGTGAAAGTTCTGTAGGTGCTGTGAGGTCTCGTGCTAGTTCTTTTGTGGAGTATGCAATGTCTGGTCGTGTGTATGCTAACCATTGAAGTTTGCCAACAATCCTTCTGTACCTTTTGTGTTGTTCGTGGTCAAGTAGTGCTTCATCTTCTATTGTTGGTTTGTAGTGTGCAATTCCTGGAGTGTTCACTGAGTTGCAGTTGTTCATTCCAGACTCCTCGATCATGTTGTCGATGTAGGAGTCCTTTAGTCCAAGATTGCAGTAGTTGCCAAAGTGGTCGATGTTTCTTCCAAGAAATTGTTGTGGTTTGCCAGGTTCGAGGTAGCCGATGTGCTTGAGTAGGACCTGCTTCTGGATGGCCTCGAAGGTGGAGTCGACAGTCTTGTCACCAAGTACTAGAGATCGTCCACGTAGACCATGATGTAGCAGTCGCGAGTCGCATTGGTGTAGACGTTAGGTTCTGACTTTAGTCTTACAAAGCTGAGCTTTTGTAACACTTCAGCCAGGTAGTCCTGCCATGCTTTTGGTGAACTGCGTAGTCCATACATGGCTTTCTTTAGTCGCCAGATTTTGTCCTGTTGTGGACAAAGTTCTTTAGGTGGCCAAAGGTAGACGTCACGTTGTTTACCGTCGTGGTCTTTTGCGATGGGTGCGTGTAGAAATGCTGTAGAGACGTCACCTAGTCGCGCGATCCAGTTTGGTCGTGACATTTGTAGTGCGAGAAGTGTCCGGAGTGTCGTGAACATTGGTGTAGAGGCGTAGACGGAGTCTTCGTCCTCGATCTTCTCTGTGTAGCCTTTTGCGACGATTCGGCTTCGCACTCCTGGTCCTTTCTTTCTGTGTACCCATCTTGTAGGTATCGCTTCTCTGATGACGTTGTCGTCGACGGTAGACGCATCTACTTCGTCGTAGACGTCATGTAGCTTCATTTGGTTTGACTCGTGTTTCATTCCTTCCAGTAGTTGTGTTTCGTCGTAACCTTCGTTCTCGAAGATTATGGGTTCGTCTTCTGAGGTGTCCTCGTTTGTGTAGGGGGTGATGGATTTGCCGTTGGGAAGTGTCACTGCGTTGATTTTCTGTCGTAGTGGTGGTGGTTCTTTGGTTGCTTGCTCCGCTGATCTGATTGTAGTGTCCTTTGAGGTCTTCTGTGCTTTAGTTGGTTGCATTACTTCTTCCGGAGTTAAACGTCGTAGTGTTTGTCGAGGTGGTGCTGGTAGTGGTGGATGTTGTCGTCCGGTTGGTGAAGTAGCCATAGGACTATCCAGTAGTGGTCGTGAACTTGACGTCGATGTGGACGGACGTCGATGTGGACGGAAGTCGTGGAGGTGGTGTAGGGCGTTGTTGTTTTGTTGCGGGTTCCGCAACGATGTCGTCCGTAGCGTTCGTTTGTTGTCCGAAATCTTGCGTGGACCTTCTTTTCTCTGACGGTTGTAGTTGCGTGTCCAACAGTGTTGCGAACGATGGGTTGTAGGTGTTCCGTCGTGGTGCCCATGGTGTGCCGGAAACTTTGTTCAACAGTGCGAGGTCGTATTTGAAGTCCGGTTGTAGTCTCCGCACTGTTCGTACCTTTTGTACGCCTGATTCCGTTGCGACGTAGTTTTCTCCGGTTTCGGAAACTTTTCCGAGCCAGATGCATTTCTGCATCCGTAGGTCTGCTTTTGGAAGTTTCTTGTGTTGTGGTGGAAGGTGAAGTAGTGTCTCGCCAAATTCGCAGATTGCTCGCTCGTAGTTTCTTCCCCAGCGGCGTTCAAAGCTTGTGTAGCCGTCTGAGTGAATGACGTAGCGATTTACCGTCCATGCTGCATGTCGTACTATCCAAGGTAGTAGACAGTGCTTTGTGGACATCGTCATGCTGTAGTTGCTTTCAACCTGAGCTTTGACGACGCGGATTTGTCCGAGAAGTGTTCTATGTAGTCGCTCAACGCTTCCTTGACTGTTGCTGCTGTAGGATGGTGAATGTCGTACAGTCATTGAGCCGACTTTAGATGCTGTTGCTTTTAGTAGTGCATTGAGTGTGTCTTCGTTGTCGCTTTGTAGTATGCCTTGTGTTCTTCCACATTCAAAGATGAATGCTTGTAGGTTGTTGATCATGTAGTCCATCATTGATGGTTTGTCCGGAACCAATACCGCCATGCACAGTTGTGTAGTAACATCAACTGCTGTTAAGACTGGTATGGTCTTCGGATCTTGTTGTGGTTTGATGTAGGCAAAATCCACTTGGATGAAGGGTTGTCGTGATTGTTGTTTCTTGTAGTTGTCCTGGCGTCCTTTGCCTTGAACGCAAATTGGACACCAATTTCTGTATGGTAGGTGTGTCAAGTTGTGTTCTGCTATTTGTTGTGGAGTGGGCTGCTGCGGTTGTCGTAGTCCTCTTGCTCTGTGTGCTTCATGATGCTCGTGTTGTTGTTCCTCATCGTGGTTCTCCTGGATGTACTCGTAGTCTTTCTTCACGGTGAACCTTGTTGTTCCTTTCCATTGAAATGGTAGTGCTGCGTTGCCCATGACTGTCCAGTCATCTTTGCGTTGCGAAACTTCTCCAAAGTTGTTGTGAGTGATTGTAGTTCTGTGAGGTTCAAGTGTGCTGATTGGTGGATGTCCTGGTCCATCTGTTGGAGTGAATAGAGTTGTTCTAAGTGTTGTGTGGTGTCTTATCCAGTATTCACCTTGTCTTTCCCAGTAGTCTTGGTTGTCCTCCTGTGCTGTGAGTGGTCTGTGGATTGTCTCCTTTGGTTGTGTGGTGTCAAGATCTGTAGAAGGTGCTGCTTTAGGTCTCCATATCTTTTGTGGTGCTCGTAGTTGGATCTTTGATCTGGTTGGTGGTGTGTCCATTAGCCGTTGTGGTTGTGAGCTCTGCCTTGTTGGTGTGGTCTTTGATGTTGCTCTGCGTGTAGGTGTTATCTTTCTTCTGAATCTGGTTTCTCCAGTCCAGTTGTCACCTTCTAGTCTTCGTTGTAGTTCTTGCTTGGAAAGTTGTGTTGGGTTCTCTTGTAGTTGTTCTTGCTCTTGCCCTTGTCTGTTGATGATGGTTAGTCGCCAATCATCTAGTTCTCCTTCAGGTATTGGGCAACCGCTGTTGTGTGGTGTGAATAATGCTTTGCGTGGTCGTTTGTGTACTCTGATGGCGTAGTCACCATCAAGTTTCCAGTAGTCAGTGTTTCCACCAAGGATCTGTCGTAGTCCTTGGTCTGTGTGGGTGAGTGGTGCAATTTGTTCTTGTTGTTGTACTGTTTTCTCCGTAGGTTGAATCACAGCAATGGATTTTCCATTGTCTGTAGTCATTGGGTAGATGTCGAATCCTGTAGGGATGTCGATCTTCTCTGCTCGTAGGTAGAAAAGTCCTGAGTGTCTTATAAGGTGTGCTTGTTGTTGTCCATGTGTGAGTAGGGTATCATGATCCTGAAGTTGTCCTGCTTGTAGGGAACGTACTTGATGCCGTAGACAGGAATCTTCTTGTTTGTAACCGTGTAGAGTTGTGGAACCGATTCTCCACAAGGTCGTAGCGGTAGGTCTGGTGCGTAGTCCTTCGGGCAAACATGTGTAGATGCTCCTGAGTCGATCAACAGGTGGTGGTATGACTTGAAGTTGGAGTACATGATGTAGTGTGTGATAGTGTCCTCAATCTTCTTGTTCCTTTGTTGTTGTCTTGCTGCTGCTATGTCAAAGTGTGGCTGTGTGGTGTCTTCTTGTAGGAATTGTTGAAAGCTCTTGCTGTGGTCGTTCCATGATGTTGTGTGTGTTGTTCTCTTGCCAAGTAGTGATTTGGATTTGTGCTTGTGTAGTCGTGAGTTTGCTTGTCTGATGTGTCCAATGGTAAGGTGTGACTCGTTGATGCCTCCAATGTAGTTTGCTGTGTCCTCATAGCTGTTGTCATTCCAATCCCAGCTGTTGTCATAGTCGTAGTCGTTCCAGTTCTCCTCCATGTAGTTCACCTCGTGTTGTCCTTCTTCTCCTTCGTAGTACCAGTCCCAAGTGTCGTTCACATCCTGAGGTAGTTCTTCATTGTTGTCATGATCTGCTTGTTCTTGTTCTAGTGGATGTAGTTCTTCTCCTTCTCCTATGTGCCATACTGGCACTCTGCAGTCTTGTGCCCAGTGGCCAGGCTTGCCACATCGATGGCATGTTGTGTAGTTGTTGTTTCCTTTTCCTTTTGATTTGCTGTAGTTTCCTTGGCCTTTGTAGCCTTTGCTTGATCCATATCCTTTGGATCCTGAGTAGCCTTTTCCTTTGCTCTTGTTGTATCCTCCTTTGTTGTAGTTTCCTTTGCTGCCTTTGTCGAATCCTTTGTAGTGCCCTTTACTCCTGTACTTGCCTTTGCTCTGCTTCCTTTGTAGCTGCCTTTTCCTTTTCCTTTGCCTTTGTAGTTTCTTCCTTTCCTCCATATGTTGTCAACATCCATTGGTGCAGCTCCTCCATTGTAGTTTGTTCCTACTGCTGAAGTAGATCTAGTGACGGCTGAAATCGTCTTGTAGTAGTCCAAGATGAGTGCTCTGATCTCGATGTAGTTCGTGATCTGTCCAGCTCGCAGTTGGAGGTGTTGCTGCAGTGCTCCTTTGGTTTTGTTGAGTAGTATTGCTATTTTGATTCCATCTGGTAGTGCTGTTCCATTGTCTTTCTCGTAGCGGTTGATGTCGTATTCCCATTGTAGAAATTGTTCTTCAAACTGCGCTTCGTTGAATGTAGGTTCCAGTAGCTTGGTAAGGTAGCCAACGCTTCTTGTTCCTACTGGTAGGCTGAACCTGTTGTGTAGTAGTCGTAGTGTTTCAAATCCGTTTGCGTTGTAGCGGTTTTGCCTTACTACTGTAGCTGCTGCTCCCTGACAGATGTTGATGAGGATGTAGTGTAGATCTCGTGAGAGGTCTACTGCTTTTGTTGCTTGTGTAGGGTCGCGTATGTGGGCTCTTATATCTGTGTCCTCAATCTGTCGTGTAGCCACTTGTGCTAGTTGTAGCACCAGGTCGAAGTCTCGGTCTATGAGGCCGAGGTATGCTTGTAGCTTGAACAGCCATTCTTCATACTGGGAGTAGTCACCAGTGAAGAAGGGTGGTGGCAGTTTGTATCTATGTAGTCTCTGAACGTCGTTGTCTTGTTCTGTTCCTGCTCCCGTAGTTGTGGCTCCTACTGTGTCTGCTGTTGGCCCGTTCTCTGCTCCTGTAGTTTGTTGTGCTGAGGCTGATGCTGCTTCTCCTGACATGTCGTAGTAGTTTGGCATGTGACTGCTGTTGCTGTGGTTGTAGTACTTACTGCTTACTGGAGCTCCCCTACGTTTAGGATCTCAGCTCCGCTACCACGATAAAATCGGTGGTTACTTTGCTTCCAAGTGCAAGTGCTGTAGTGTTCAAACAAACAGTCAACCGATTGTAGTCTGCAGCAATCCACCTTTTACACATGCGATGTAGTGAGCTCAAGGCCTGCAGTACATGCAACACAAATGCAGGAAGTGAAGCATGTAGTTTGACATCAACAGCGAGGATTCATCTCCAGGAATCTCGCTTGGAACTTTCACGAGTAAAAATAATGGTGGCTAAATGACAGAACTGGATAACTCGACGATGCTAGAAAGGAATCCCCCAAAGGAACCTTCATAAGGAACCTTCATAACTCATTTGTGTGCCGCAAAGGAATCCAGCTTCGCGGATCTCAACTCCAAGCCGGGGGGCGGAGAGGCTCATGATGGGGCTCATGAAGCCTGGCCAAAACCTCAGCACATGGAAAGGCCCTTTGGCTTTCTTCGAGATCCCTCTGCATCTTATAGTTGAAGATACGCGTACCCCTTGTGTCAACTCACAAGACGACTTTGCCTCCCGGATAGTCTCGCATAGAGGCAAGGGCCCAAATGAAGTGTGAAGCCCCATCTTGCAGGCCTTTTGGGTCTTCGACGGTCTGAGAACCAACTTCACTGGCAAAAGAGAGGGCAAGGGGTCAGTTCGGAAATCACTTTCAGGGAGCGACCTACTGGGGGTTCGCAAGGTCTCCGCGCCCTAGGCTGCCGGCGGAGGTGCACGTACGCGCTGGGTGACGTAGGACTCCAGGCTGCCATACCACACCGAGGTCACCGTGAGGTATGGGAAGTACCTCGAGCTTCAACTTGCTGGCCCAAGGGGCCCCAAATGTGCTGGTGTCACCGGCGCCGAAGGAACAAAAGGAAAGAAATCAAAATTCTTAGGACAAAAAGTTCCTGTAGGAATCATCATCGAGGTCACACCTCGCTTTGTGAGGTTGCGGTTTGCCTAAAGCCAGTGGTCCTCCCGCTTTTCCGGAAAAGTTGACGGACAACCTGCAAAAGCATCTCCACACTCCGAAGACAATGACATGAATGGTGCAAAATAGCTAAACTCGCACACATACACCAAGAACAGTGAAGATAAGCTCAACAGCAGATTCTCCGTGGTGGTGGATTGGGTGGAAAGATAGTGCACGTTGTCCAGCAAGAACAGCAGGCAGATCTGCTCCTTCTTTCCAAGTGACCCTTTTTTGTCAGGACATGGCCACAACGGTCGTCTTTTGAACAAAACAAAGCACCATGCGCAAAAGGAAAACTAAAATATTCAACTGCCCAGCTTTCTACTGGATGTTTAGCACCCCCCCCTGTTTTCGGTTTGCACTGCTAGAGGCATCAGCTGATCAGTGGGCAACCGTCTTAGGGAATGAGGCTATGTAAAGTTAATCACCTCTGTTGTGTTGCAAAATGGAGTACTATGGGGATTCCGTCCCGCTTTTGTCGTCCTCAAATGCTCCACGCCAGTCGGTGTGTGCCGTCCGAGCAGCCCCCAGTGCTCCTGGGGCCGCGGAACAATTGCTTGTTCTTTCGAGATTAGAGAATCTCATCCACCAACACCACCCAACGATTGCCACCTCACCAGCATTGACCAAACAAAGCAATTGACACAGTGTTGAATACAGTGAACTGGCAGGCATGTAGTGGCAGTCGCCGCAACAAAAGTTACGCTATGTTGGCCAAGCATAGCTAAAATTAAGGGGACGTCGTAAGCTTCAATCATAGCCACACTGCTCATGAAAGAGCACATAAAGCCCTACGCAAAAAACAAAGTTACACACTCACAAACTTGGGTGGGTGTGCTGCTGTGAATGTCTATCACTCCGGTTGAAGATCTTCGGTTTTAGGCTCGGTTCGAAGGGAAACCCACCATAAATTCCATGCAAACGCCTACCATTTGGGGAGGTCCCTGCTTTTGACTCATAGGACCTGTACGTTGCCGCAGACCCGATACAAAGGACACCGTCCAAGGCGTCCATACGAAGAACACACCAGTGTGTTTCCACACTCCTTGCTGAACGTTCCACACTCTGTCGTTTTTGTCATCGTGAACTTGAGTGCTCCGGGATGCGACAAAATGAAGCGAGAGGTGGTCGCGACCTTGCTTGATCCATACTGGTGGCAAAAACAGAAACGATGGCAAACCAAAGAAACAAAGAAACAGAAAACAACAAACCAACTAAACCCAAGCAACCGCAATAAACACAATCAAATCCAACTAGACCCACCAACCAAAACCCATCCACACCCCCAACAAAAGCTCAAACAAAAGCCAACGAAAGCCAACCCAAACCGAACGCAA